AAATCCATTGTGCAGGCTGTATTTTACGTCAGCGTTTTGCACACACTGTCCCTCCCATCTGCTTCACTCTAAAGCGCTTTGAAACGTCAGTGGTAATTGTCAATAGGTAAGGTGGGTGGTCCAGTGATGTGTTGAAGCATGTGATAACGTCTTCCAAAAGGTGGTTTATTGTGAGCCTTCCTTGTATGAGAGTTGACCATTCCTCTATAATTACTAAGCTCATATGGAAATGACCTTCGTGTGCCTGACCTCCCAACATCACTCGTCAACACACCTCGTCATAGAGGGCAATTTGATTCAACCCCAGACCAACTCATTCCACAACTTCCCCTTCTCATCCATCCACATTCTCGTCGAGTGGGCAGTGCCCCTTACCTCTATTCAATGAGGCAACTCAGTGTCAATCCTCATCCACACACCTCCCTACCTGCAAATGCAGCAATCTGCTCCAATAGAATTCCTTGAAATACGGGATGTAATGGCTCTGAATGGAGTTAGCTTTAATGAGTTAATTATGGGACAGTTTGTTGGCGCAGCTTCTCCAAACAGAGTGCTACAAATGAACTACTCAGAGACAAGCCAAACACCAACTGCTCTTTTACGGTGCCTTCGCGGCAGCACCGCAGCCATTCCTGCCGCAGCAGAATAGTTCTATCTGCCACATAATGCGGAAATTGTGTAGGCATTTATCGAAAGCTATTTTAAGCAAAAATGATATTAACGATTTTCTGGCCCATACTTCCATTAGCGAATTCCAGACAGCCGGTTCTTGCTCCCACTGTGACTCGAGATGTGATAGCATTGATTCGACAGGCCAACTTCTGATTCGGTTGGGAGGTAATGCAACAGCAATTATTTGTGCAACGAGCAGAATGATCAGAATGACAGCAAACTGGTGGGTAAAGCTGAAACATTTGAGAGTAATTTGATGATTTCACTTGACACTGATTCATCTCTCCTGTGCCTACTCACAATCTGCAGTAGTGTATCACATCCGCAGCACGAAGCAATGCATTTGATCAAGCAGAGTGCTGCTAGAATCAATCCAACCACAATGAGAACTATAGCTACGCCATCTGCAGGCAGTAAGTCGTTAGCGATTTATAGCATTGCAAATGTACTGAGGAATATCAATATGACAATGGGTGTTTCATGATATCACCTACTTACATTTTCAGTGATGAACTTCGCAAACTTTTTGACATCCCTATTGGTTAAATGTGCATCCTGCTCATAAACCTTTTCTAATATCCTTTGCACTAGGCCTTTTGACGATTTTAAAATAATGCGAAACACTACTCTGGCCAAGAAGTCCACAAAAGATAGCAGTGGCAATTAGCACTTCCTTCAGAAAACACTAAACGAATGATTGCACTTTTATCACATAACCGACGCGGTGGACGATATTGAAGACTTGACGAACGAGCTTAATGTCACAGGAAATAACACAGCCACTGCTGTGGAGGGAGAGGTAAGTGGATAGGAGTGTGTGAAAGAGGAGCAAGAAAGTAGTATCATCATTTCGAGTGGAGCCGAATGAGCAAAGAACTCACCTTGCCTGATTCACTGGATTAGCCTACGAAACATAAATTAAAGGTACACTTGGGCCAAATGTGTATTCAGCTTAACCTAGCTTCGAGCCGGTATAACTAGCGTTTTGCCATGGTTGTGCACATTACTGGCCGTGAAGAGGCCAATCGGTTGGTAACTCTCTTTGATTTGCTCAGTGTGCTTTGTTGGCAAATCTGTCAAACAGAATTGGAACTGCTGCATTCAGAGAAAATATACGAAGTAGCATTTGAAAACGTGACAGATGCATTTTCTTGCAAATCTTTAACTTTAACACGCGGCGCAGTGATTGGGAACTGATAAAATCTAGAGATGCTTCACAGAATGTCGGATACCTCTGGTTGGAAGGAAGGCGCAAACTAGTGCCCAACTATACAGGTGGAATTGGATCCTGTCGAGCTTGCCAAGCTGAGAAATGGAATAATACATGGAGAGCTCTTTAATCCACTTGGTCGTGTTTACCAACAGAGGAGAGCAAGCTAGTGGGTACTACGTGTGTGCGTGCTTTCTAACTGAAGGCCAGTATTTGGCTAACCTTGACCTCATTACCGTACATAAAATGCACCCAAACGCGGTAGTTGACATGTAGGAAGAATTCAAAAACATCGGGAGGTCACAGCCAATCCAAAATACTCATGGGAACCATCTCCAATATCAGGGGATGCACCCATCCATGGCTCTTACCCTTGCAGAAGTAAAATTTTGGCCACGATTTCTACGTCTTCTGCTACACGACTACTCTCTGTGCACACAAAACGACATCGTGGATTTTATTCCATGTCTTTCTGTAAAGCAGATTCTGCATTTAGGGATGAAATGTCGAAAGTGTATAGCAGGATGTGCACAAGTCAAGTAACACGTGGGGCTGCTGATTCAGAGGTGCATGACAGACGTACTCGGTTGCTGTACCTCACACACATGTCCTTCCCCATCTTGATGACAGACGGCTTCGCCATGTTGACACAAACCTTCTCAGATAACAACCAATCATGTATCAACCAATGATTGCCGATGCAGACGCCACTGTCCGTCTGAAATCGTAACCAAAGTTTAAGCACACGTTGTACAGAGTCGTATTAGATCATTGGACCATCGCCACAAAAATAAACCTAGACTGCCTTCGTATAAATAACTTGACAGCAGATTGGTGCTCTATCATGCAATTATTCGGTGTAACTCACAGTCCACTCCTGTCGTTATTTCATTTCTGCTACTTTAAATATTTTAACCAGCCCCTCTCCTTGATTTGTAGATTGAAGTTGAAGGGAGAGCAGATATAAATGTGTGCAATGCCGCGTTAACAAGAGGATTCACGGTAACTGGGCACTGAACTGAACCCGTCAGTGCAAAGTATAGACTAAATATAATCACTGTTTGCAAAGTTCATCACTCACAATGCAGGTAGGTGATATCATAAATAATTTAACATGGCATTGATATTCCTCAGTGCTTTTGAAATAGCATAAAAGGCTAACAAATCATCCCTTGCAGATGGCGAAGCTATAATTCCTATTGTAGTTTGATTGGC